GGTAGTTCTTGAAACAAAACTGAAATTTGACTAGAGGCCTCTGAGGCAGTGTCTCTGGAGGTGTGAAATGGTGTGAAATCAGTAATTAGGAAGCAGCTAATTAGCTCATGCTCACCAAGAGTGCACATTGAGAGAGAGTTATATATAGCTAGAGGCAAAGTGGTGCTCCTCAGGATCACAGCACTGCACATGCATATTGTGCATGCAACTGAGTCTCCAAAGCTGAGTCTTGCCATGAAGTGATATAAAGCAGTGTTTGTGGGCTTCCTGGGGCCCCTCCAGACATCCTGTTTATTGGATGATTTGTCATAATTCATGATGATTCGTGCTCATTATAGTTTGAGGCAGTTATATGCAATTCCACTTTCAGTACTGTTCACATCTGCAAAAATTTCAGGGCAGACATATTGCTTCCTTTCCTGTTGGTGCGTGTTCTTGCTGAAATGAAGGGCCAGAACCAAAGTGGGATTGGTCATTAGCTCCACCCCATATCATCAGGCCCAACCCCTAAAGCTGGCATGGGGGACCTATGCAGGCTGTAGACTGTAGGCCAAATCTGTAGCCCATCTGGGGTTCTAGTTAGGCCTGCAACAGTTTCTCCTCATCATGCCACCTGTCCCATACCTGATATCCTACCTGTCCCACCCACCTGCCAAAGTGGCCTGCGGAGGGCATAGGAGCTCAGGATCCAGCCTGCTGGCTGGATCTTAGTTCCCACCCTTGCCCATATAGCCATTAGGAACAGCCTGGTGTTGCCTGACCCATCAGATGATATCCCTTGTCATATTCTACAAAGCTCTACTCCTACAAAGCTGCATCACTCAGCTCCAAGCTTCCACCCTATGGATCTCAGAATCTGAGCCTCAAGAGATCTGGCACGGAAGCTTATACCAGAACAAACTTAGTTGGTCTATAAGGTGCTACTGCACAAGTTCTTAACCTATCCCATTCACAGTGTTTCAGTTTCTAGAGTAGTTTAACAATCAGTCCCTTTTCCCAGTAAATTTTGGGAAACTGTAGCTCTGTGAGGGGAATAGAGGGATCTTCTTATAACTCTCAGCATCCTTAGCAAGCTATGGTTTCCAGGATTCTTTGGTGGAAGCTGTCAGGGAACTGACATCGGAGCTAGGGGCGGAGGGAAGGCTCTCAAATGATGCTGGAGAAGGGCCCAGCAGGGAGAGAGGCAGCTCAGCAGATGGGGAAGCAATTCAGCGCAACACCAGGAATAAGGAGGGGCAGATGGGGGAATCGGCGAGAGGGCTCCCAGACTCTTCACCGGACACCAGCGGGGAGAGCACGGGTCCTCCGCTACCCACGCCCTCCCTGTGCAGAAGACTTCCGCGCAGAGAGAGTAGGAGGAGACTGGGTGTCAAACAACTTTTATGTTGGAAAAGGTTTAAGAAACGCCCACTGACGGATTCTGCTAGCGACTGAGGCAGCCACGAAGTGAAGGGCTGTTCAGACTGAAAGGTTTAACAAGGCAACAAAGCCAGGAGAGGCGGCAACTTACGCACGAGCAACCCATACTCATTACAGAAGCCATGACTGTTTAAAGTGGTATGATGCTGCTTTACATGTATAGTATAGATAGATGTTGGAATTTTCACTAAAGGAATGGGGAGGTCACGCCATCTTGTCCTTTGCCTCAGATAGCAAAATGTCTTGAGCGGGCCCCACAGACATATTCTGGATGACATATATTCTTTCATCAGGGCATCCTGACCTGTTGTGATTTCCCTGCAAATCTGAGCATTTGCCACTATATAATACTACTAATTTTATATTAGTTTTTAGGTTGCTTGTGGGTGGCTGTGACGCTAGCAGCTGAGTCATTTTCATGGGGGGATTTTGTTGCTGCCAGGGTATTCAGAGTTCTGTGTGGGAGGCTGACTGAGAGATGGAATTTTTCTTCACCCTGTGGCATAGTTCTGGAACGAAGAGAAAATGATTTGCCATTGATGTGACAAGTTGCTGTTAGTAAGGTGATTCACTTCAAATTACTCATCATCCAGAGGCTTGAAAGCAGACCATATAGTGTCCCACAAGTGGATCAATCTGCTTCTGGGTTTTTTGTTGGTTTGTCCGTCGCCCTTGAGTAGAGGTGGGACTGACTGTTAAGAGTCATCCCTGACCACTGGTACTGTTAGCTAGGGATGATGGGAGTCGTAGACCCAAAACATCTGGAGAGCCGAGTTTGCCTATGCCTGCTTAAGAGGATAAAGCCAAGTAGCTCTCGCTGATAAAGACTTTGTATACTGTGGTGAGTATGAGTTACTCGTGCGTAAACTGGTGCCTCTCTAGGCTAGTTGCCTTGTTAAACCTTTCTGACTGCACAGCCCTTTCTAATCATGACTGTCTCAGTCACTGGCAGAATCCGTCAGTGGGCGTTTCTTGAATCTCTTCCAACATAAGAGTTGTTTGACACCCAGTCTCCTCCTCCTCTCACTGCGCGGGAGCCTTCTGCGCAGGGAGGGCG